GATACATATTGTCATATAAAATTCTTTTTTTGTGTTTTATGTGTAAAAATACTTTTTTTAGTGTTTAACTTCAGAATAAAAAAACTTTTTTTTAGTAATTTATTTATTTTTAGTTTTCAAAGTTCACTTCCATAAGATTTTGAGTTTTAAATTTTCTTCCCCTTCCCTCTCCACCCCTTTCCCCAAGATGGCATGTAATCTGATAGAGGCTCTACTTATACATTCATATTAAGCATATTTCCACATTAGTCATGACATGTAGAAGAATTAGAACTAATGGGAGGACATGAGAAAGAAGAGATAAAACAACAAAAGAAAAGGAGAGCAAATAGTAAGCTTCCAATTGCATTTGGACTCCATGGTTCTTTTTCTGGATATGAATACCATTTTCCATCATGAGTCTTTTGGAGTTGTCTTAGATCCTTGCATTGCTGAGAAGAGCTAAGTCTATCAAAGTCAATCATCATACAATGTGGCTGTTATTGTGTACAATGTTCTGTTGGTTCTGCTCACTTCACTCAGCATCAGTCCATACAGGTCTTTCCAGGTTTTTCTGAAGTCTGCCTGCTCATTATTTCTTATAGCCCAATAGTATTCCATTATATTCATATACCACAACTTGTTTAAAAAACTTTTTAAGAAAAGAAAAGAAAGTCTAGGAAACATTTGTATGATCTAGAGGGTATGTCAGCATATGCTGAGGAAGCAATGAGGGGAGTGAGTGCTAGGACTGGGTGCCAGATTACAGTGGAGGTGACAGTAGGGCAAAAGTAGCAGGATTGTGTGCAAGTTTCTCAACTGAAGGAGATCAGTAAACTAAGTCAAGAGATTCACTGCCCCGAGTTAAAGTTTTAAAATAAATGATATTTAAGAAGAGAGTAAGAAGAAAATCTGGGCCTAGAGTCAGGAAGACTCATCTTCATGAATTCAAATCTGGCCTCAGACACTTACAAACTGTGTGACTCTGGGCAAGTCAGTTAACCTTGTTTGCCTCATTTTCCTCACCTGTAAAATGAGCTAGAGAAGGAAATGGTAAACCACTCCAGTATCTTTGCCAAGAAAACCCTAAATGGGGTCGCGAAGAGTTGGACATGACTGAAAACAACTGAACAACAACAAAAGATTTTGATCATTCAATCTAAGGGATGTAACATATGATAAAGGCTTCCTAAGCTACAAGCACAATTGTCCCTATGGAAATGTGGGGGATAGATAGCTTCATCCTGGTATGACTGTACCTGGTGGACTTCACCTCTGAGGTACCATACCCTCACTCTTCATCAGACTCTCTCCTGTGCTTGTGCTCTTTTGTCCCTAAGTCAACTTAATTTATCTCAGAATAAGATCTGGCTGATTCTAGCTGAACAGAAGAGCACAGGCTATGGTGTGTTCTACTACGCCAGCAACTTCTGATTTTGGTTCCAGCAACAGGAATAGCCTACCTTAATACAAAGTGACTCATCACTTGTTGATTGGTGATCTCATGATGAATTCTTTGGTCATCAGATGAACAATTTTCATTCTTAAATTTTAGAGTCAAATACCTTTCCTCAGTTCTGTCCACTGCTGAAAAAGTAAGAGTGGCCTTGATCCTGAGATGTCATAATGGTGGCTTTCATCTTAGACTCACAGTTCTGAGCACTGAAAGAGTGGAAGTGATTGGTCTAGGATCATGTAGCTAGTATGTGTCAGAGGAAGGACTTGAACCTTAGTTTCCTTTTTTTTTCTTTTTTACTTTGAGATTGGTTCCCTGTCTACCAGATAACATTGCCTCATTAATTACATTTTAATTGATAGAAAATGACTAGTTATGAAGTGGAAGTAATTTCCAAGTCAGATGTCTACATATAATTAGACCATCAAAATATCTGAACAAAGATCAGAACTAATATTAAATTAGAAGAAAGACAATGGAGGCAAATTCAACCGAATCTGTTTAGACAAGCTGCTGAAGTTTAAAAATGGATTAGAGAATAGATATTAAAACAGACTACCACCATTTCCTAAGGAAATTTAACCAATATAAGTCATTCACCATATCAAGGAGTCCAAAAGAATCTAGAAGCCAAAAACTACTTGATATCATTACCAAAGAGATATGACTTCTAAGGGCAACACCCAATAGCCACATTTAGGTAAGTTTGTATAAAAAGCAAGATGTTTCTTGTACACGTGCTAAAATCAGACAGGATTCCTTGAAAAATGTAATAACATAAACAACTTTTTCAATAATAAAATTAACAACAAAAAATGCACAAGACAAAGAAACATATACTCAGCAGAGGTGTTTGCTACTACCCTGGAGAATGCCCAGTGCAGTATCAGGTTGGGATGAATGATAAGTTCCTCAAGATCTTCCTGTTTGTGGGTGACATGTTTCTCATTGCATCAAGCCCCAAAATATCACAATCTTCTATAGGGAGTCTACAATCATTCAGAAGAATTTAGCCTAAGTATGCATGAAGGGAAAACAAAGAGGATGAAAAATGCTTATTATTCATACAGTTAAGTGGGCAACCCATTGAGCTAGTCTCTGTGTGTGTGTATGTTAAGATAGACAATGAATGGAACCCAGAATTAAACAGAAGGAGAGTGGATTAAATTGCCTCTGCACAGTTGTGCAGCAATTTCAAAAATCCCAACTATCTCCTTGAAATGGACTAATTTTTTCTGTTTAATCTACTTTTTCAAAAACTTGTAATTAGTTTTTTTCAATTATCAAGCCTTTGTTTTTATTTCCTCTTGTGTTCTCTCCACTTACCACAGAAAAGGAAAGAAGAAAAACAAAACTCTTGTAACAAATATGCATAGTTAAGCAAAACAAATTCTGTAATGGTAGTGTCCGAAAACGTATCTGATTTTGCAAAGTTGGTCAATCACCTCTCTCTAGGAGGTGGTAGTATTCTTTGTCATCAACCCTCTGGAATCATGGTTGATCATTCCATTCTTCAGAGCTCTTGAACCTTTCAAAAAATGTTCATTTTTTCACAACTTTATTGACATAGTAATAAATTGTTCTTGTTCTGCTCACAACTTTCCCCAGGTTTCTTTAAAATCTCTTTCTTCACTTCTTGTAGCACAATAATATTTCATATACCGTATTTTGCTCAGCCATTCCCCAGCTGATGGGCACCTCCTTAGTTTACAATTCTTTGTCACTACAAAAATTCTAGAAATATTTTTGTAAATAGAGGAACTTTTCCTCTTTCTTTCATCTCTTTGGAGTACAGGCCTAGTGGTGGTGTCATCTGATGCAGTATGCCTGTATGTCATGGAATATCACAGTCTCTGAAGCTTTGAAGTCACCCCAAGAACACTGGAGAAATGCACAGTAAAGGGGAGTAAGCTGTAATATTTTGCAAAGTGCTCTATCACTCAAGAGGGAGGTGGGTTGGTCATGTATCATGAGTAAATGATAATGAACGGGCAGCTTACGTGCTCCACTTGCATCCATGCAATGTCAAGCGATCACAGCATTTTGGATGGACCTCCCCATGAATAATTTATGGAAAGACATGGATAAAAGTTATATGGGATGAGGAGTTGCAGATGAATCCGCTCTACTGGAGGGAATAGCCACACAAACAAATGACTCGATACATGAAACTATCAAGGAGTATCATAGAATGTGCCCCTACACGTTGTGCCCTTGGTGGCTACCCAACTTACCCATCCCTAGTGCTGGCACAAAACTTTTTTTTCTTTGCTAGTGATTTGATTCTTCTGGTTGTTATTTGGATTTCCTTTTTTTTTTTTTAATCATTCTCCTTCTCCCCTCCCCACTGAAAACAGCATTATCATATCAAGGCTCTGCAGGGTTTTTACACAGTAGATTGAGTACCAGATTTGGAGTCAGGAAGACTGGAATTCAAATCCTTTTGATGTTTACTAGCTGTTTGACCCTGGGTAAGTCACTTAACTCCTCTCAGCCTCAGTTTTCTGCTGTGTAAAATGGGGATGATAATAGCACCAACTCCACAGAATTGTCATGAAGCTCAAATGAGATCTTATATATAAAACACTTCACAAATCTTAAAGCATTACATAAATGTTAGGTAGGTAGGTAGGTAGTAGTAGTAGTAGTAGTAGTATAGTAGTAGTAGTAGTAGTAGTAGTAGTATAGTAGTAATATCATTATTTTTCCTCTATGTCTATCTTTGAGTTTCTAAAACCAGGAACTTGGCTTACCCCCAACATCCCTTCATCCTCATATAGACATATGGGAGTGGGGGACAGGGTGGCCACATGTCACTGTCCTCCATGAGGTTAAGACTGTGTCTTCCTTGATCTTTGTTAATTCTTCAAGATGTACCACTGTACCCTGCTTTATGATACAAAGCACATAGAACACTGTGTGATCTTTAGCAATGTTTGTTGAGTTGCATGAATATCTATTCAGCCCTGTCTTTCCTTTTCTTCCCTCATGCAGTTGTACTCAGTGACTTGTGGTCTACAACAGAATGGGGCAGGAGCTTATAAGGGAACCTAAAAAAAAACATATTAAGAAGTCAGAGAACTATATTATTGTTAATTTTTAGGTTCATTGCCTCAGTAAGACCCATTCTTCTCTTCTCCCCAAAGCTAAGTGAGCTAAAGTTCTTTTCTTTCTCTAGAATCTGAGTATCAGCTCCTTTTCTCCCTTCTGTCGTCCTCTCCCATTCAGTTCACTGTACTTAGCCCAGGGTCAGATAAGTTTTAAATTTTGTTATAAAATTTTTAAACATGCCATCACTTTGAACAGTACTCATTTTCCCCCTAGACTTCCTTTACTAATTAGGCAAGTCCAATATACTGTTAAGGTAATTTTAGGAAGACAATATGTCTTTTATAATATTTTTGTGTTTATAGATTAGTAAAGCAAAGAGAAACACAGTGCCTTTGTATATGTCCATTTTTCAAGTAATCAGACAACTTTTGTTGAGTCCACACTAGGTAGAAAGTACTACATCTCAGAGAAAAAGAAGACACAGACCATTGTCATGAATAATAATGAAACCATATCAGTCAGAACTTAAGCTTTTATTAAACAGAAGACTTTTTCCATGGGAACAAATTGAATTCTAATTTAAACTAGTAAAATCAAGACAAAAAGTAGCATATGATGGTCTGCCTCTGTCAATTATTTACAATGCCATCTGTATGAGGGAAGGGGAATTAAATCATTGAATTCTCTCAGTCACAATGGATTCAGACATAGCCATTGCTTTTGAAAACTGCAAAGATCTCAGACTGGAGTCCATGCAATGCAATAATATGAGAATAGTTTGAATTCACACATTTAATATTTAAACGTTATCCTTCATGAAACACCAACATGCTGAAACCCTATCAGAACTCAGTTTCAGTGAACATTTTGAAATTTTCCTTTTAAGATTTTAAAATTAGAATTTGGTTCTAATATTTGGATGTATATCTGAATCTAAATTATTTCAAAAGATCTGATATTATAATTATTATATGTGAGATTATAATGGAAACTTTATTTCAAATCAAATGAGATAGCACATAGAAAGTGCTTTGCAAACCTTAAAATGCTATATCAGTGCTAGCTATTGCTTTTATTATTATTATTATTACTATTACTATTTCAAAGCAGCCATCAGAAGACCTTTGAATTTTTCCACATCCAGCTCTTTCGCGATTGAAACTTTGTTTTTCTTCTGAAGCCTGTCATCTATATCCAAAATCATCATTCCTCGGGTGTGGGAGCCAGTCAGTTCCACAGATACGGCACAGAACATGGATTCTGTGACCAAGTCCTCATCAATTGCAGCTGCCATTGCAAAGCAATCACAAGACACAAATCCTGGTTTTCGGTAGAGGGCTCTTAACTTGGGAATGGGACGCTTTTGATACCCTATGGTCACTGTATAGATTTCTTTCAAAAATCTTGCCTTTTCACTGTCCTGTGAGGTACACTTTTCATAAAATTCCTACAGACACAGAAAAAGACAAATGCTCTTTATTATCTTTGTTCTTCATACTTTTTTATGATCTGCCATGATAAAAGGCTTATTGTCATGCTTACGTACCAACATACTCATTCCTCCTTTCCTATCTTCTAGATGTGGGTGTTATGGCAGTCAGCCTTGGGAAGCCCTGAATTCAAGGGCTACCTAAATATACCTCTTGTATGACCCGGGAAAAGTCACTTAAAATCTCAGTGTTCTAGACAACCATAACTGCAGAGAAGGTGAGAAGGAGTTTCATCACCCAGGAATTTCCTACCCCAAGAAAATCATAGGTCCATTCCCTTTATCCTACATTGTGCTTTAACTGATGCAACATTAAAGCAGGACATTAAAGCAACAGAGCAGAAAAGGATGAATATGAAAAGTACATGGAGTTCTCCATAAATTCGGAGTTTTCTGATTTGGAAAGCCAGGGCTTCAGGCACATCTGGATCAGTGGAGTCTGAAGGGCTATAGCACTTTGATGATCAAAAGCTCCTAGGCTCTGGTCACATGGTTCTCTCCCTCAGTCTATTTATTCTAAAGATGCTAATAAATAGCCCTGTACAATGGAGCCAATTAATTGCTTGAGAGGTGCTGGCACGAGAATGCCAGCCTTGGAGTAAATGCCTGGGTTTGGCTCCATCTCTGAGACATCCTGGCTATATGACCACGGGCAAGTCTCTGAAACGGAGCCCCGGGCCACTCACTGAGACTAAAAGTAGCAGAGCAGGAGCTGATCCACTGTGGGGGAGGGGTGTTCCTTCCTGGGCTCTTGCTAAAGTAAAACTTGAACTACTTCACTGTAGGGTATCTTTAAATACCGCCCCCTTCAAATGTGTATTTATACTTGAGGGAAGTTTGAGATGAAATTTAGGCATTGAATATAGGTACTTCATTAAATTTAGAATAATAAATAAAACTTTGATTTGTATTATTTGTTGATTTCAGAAAGACAGCTTTCTGAAGAAGTTTGACCATGAAGGGAAGGAAAGATGAAGAACAGCTAGCAAGGATGGTACCTAAAGCATTCTTATTGCAAAGGTGAGGGATTGCAATAGATAAAAGTAAAGAATGTAAATACTGGTACTTCTCTTTGGATTTGCCATTCTTTTCATTGGGCAACTAGGTGCCAAAGTAGATAGAGTGTCAGGCCTGGAGTCAGGAAGACCTGAGTTCTAATCTGGCCTTGGACACTTAACAACTGTGTGATCCTGGGCAAGTCACTTAACCTTATTTGCCCCATTTTCCTCATCTGTAAAATGAGCTGGAGAAGGACGCGGTAATCCATTCCAGTATCTTTGCCAAGAAACTCCCCCCTCCAAAAAAGAGAGGCTACAAAGAGTTGGATACGACTAAACAACAACAAAACAACAATTCTTTTCATTCTATGTTACTTAACATCTCCATTTCAGTTTTCATACGTACTCTGTCTAATATGCTACTATTGCTAAAATAATGCAAACATGACTGCATATGTCCACCTGAAGACATGGTAATAGTTAGTGGTTGCTGACTGTGCATGCGTGTGTGTGTGTGTGTGTGTGTGTGTGTGTGTGTGTGTGTGTGTGTGTAAATCAAATTCCAAGAATCTTCATTAGCCCAAAAGCCATGATGGTGGGATGTGCAGGTAAATGTCTAACTACTGGCTGAGGGGAGGGAAAGAAGTAGGGGAACTATGTACTTCAGGACATATTTTTAAGTTTAATCTGAATTATTAACATCTTCTCCATCCCATTCTTAAGTCTAGACAATCAACAGAACAATAAATGAAGCCATGATGATTTCCAATGTGTAAATGCTCACACTGATAATTAACAATTGGCCCTCCCCACTCACTGTGAGCTGGCTCTGGCAAGCCCCTGACTGAATGTCTCTGGGTGTTAAAAAAAAGAGTTAGAGACTGAGTCCTTTCTTCTACCATGAAGGATATGTCATTGCATATTTTAGAAATGCAAGAGGACAATGAATATCTAACAACTTACCCAAGGTAGCGAATTCGAACTTGCAAATTCCCAAGTCGCAATAGCAGTTGGACAAGTATATTCATTTAAGACAATGTAAGCTGCCTCTGGGTCTGCTGCAAAATTGAATTCTGCACAGATATCAATGTTTCCTCTGGCTAGTGAAATACATAGGAAGAAACACAACAAGTCATTCACTGGACCTTATATTTTCTCATTGCCCAAATAAATACATAAGTAAAAACTGAAACAAACTCTAGAAAGAAATAACTCAACTAATTAGTTGTTCCTTGAAAGTTCATGAATAAGTTGGTGCTTTAGGACTTACGTGTTTTCCCACAGAAACAATGTTATAGACAGTAATCAGTATCCCACGCCACCTACCTAACCCATAAGTCCTTAAAATATATAGTCACATGGCTAATGTGGGAATTTGTTTTGCATGATTACATATATTTGTAACTGGTTTTGTTTTTCTTTCTTTCTCAATGGAATGGAGAGGGAGAGAGGAATGGAGACTATTGGAAACTAAATATAAAATAAGATCTTAACTGAAAATTGTATTCATAACACAGTAGTAAACCACCATAATAAAGGGTTTAATAAATGCAAAGATACAAGCTTTGGGGGCAAGAACTCAATATTTGGCAAAAATTGCTAGGAAAACTGGAAAACAAATTGGCAGAAACCAGGTATAGACTAACATCTCACGTAGTATACCAAGATAAGGTCAAAAATGGGTACATGATTTAGAAATAAAGGGTGATACAATAAGCAAATTAGGGGAGCATGGAATATTTTACCTGTCAAATCTATGGATAAAAGAAGAATTTATGACCCACAAGATATAGAGAGCATTACAGGATATAAAATGGATAATTTTGATTATATTAAATTAAATCATTTTTGCACAAACAAAACTAATGCAGCCAAGATTAGAAGGAAAGTAGGAAACTGAGGGAAAATGTTTACAGCAAATTTCTATGATAAAGGCCTTACTTCTCAAATATATACATAAATGAATCAGATTTATAAGAATATGAGTTATTCTCCAGTTGATAAATGGTCAAAGGATATGAACAAGCAGTTTTCAGAAGAAGAAATCAAAGCTATCTATGGTCATGTGAAAAAATGCTCTAAATCACTATCAAAGAAATGCTCTGAGGTACCACCTCACACCTATCAGATTGGCTAATATGGCAGAAAAGTAAAATGACAAATGTTGGAAGGGATACAGGAAAATTGGGAACTAATGCATTATTGTTAGAATTTTGAACTGATCCAAACATTCTGGAAAACACTTTGGAACTATGCTCAACAGGCTATAAAACTATGCATATCCTTTGACTCAGCAGCACCACTGCTAGCTCTGTACCCCAAAGAGATCAAAGAAAAAGGAAAATATTTAGAGCAAATTTATAGCAAAAATATTTTGAGCAGCTCTTTTTGTGGTGGCAAAGAATTGGAAATCAAGGGGATGTCCATAATTGGGGAATGGTTGAACAAGTTGTGGTATATGAATGTAATAGAATATTATTTGTGCTATAAAAATGACAAGCAGAATGCTTTCAGAAAAACCTGGGAAGACTTACATGAACTGATACAAAGTGAAGTAAGAAGAAGCAGGAGAACACTGTACACAGTATCAGCAATATTGTACAATGATCAACTTTGAATGACTTAGCTATTCTCAGCAATATCATGATCCAAGACAATTCTGAAGGATTGATAATGAAAAATGCTTATTGCATCTCCAGAGAAAAAACTGATGGATGCAGATCAAAGCATTTTTTCCTTTTAACTTTTATTTTCTTGTTTTTTGTGTTTTCTTTTACAACATGGCTAATATGGAAATATGTTTTGCATGACTGTATATGTATAATCCATATCAAAGTGCTTGTCTTCTAAAGGAATAAGGAGAGAGGGAGGGAGAGAATTTGGAACTCAAAATTAAAAAAAAAAACAAATATTAAAAATTTTATATGAAACTGGAAAAAATAAAATATAAAAATTTAAAAACTAATGTTAAAATGTTTTTATATGAAATTGGAAAAAATAAGATATTAAAAAAAGAGAAAATTGTATTCATAGCGATGGGTTTGACTTATAGTAGTAAATTACTTTGTAGCAAGAGGAAAGGAAACCAAGAGATAAAGCACTTTAAATTGTCTGGCAAATGCTTATATGTAGAGATAAGTTAATTTCCCTCTAAAAGTCAAGAATGACAAACTAATTCTGAAATAGAAATTAGAATGCTGATCTTCTTGAGGGCAGGGTCTTTTTGTGTTTATTTGTTTATTTGTTTGCCTTTTTTGTATCCCCAGCTTAGCTTTACACCTGGAACATAGCTTGATGATGACGATGATACTGGTGGTGGTGGTGATGAGGAAGATGATGATGATGATTATGATATTAGAGGAAATACACTATCCTTCCAAAAGGTATTTTTATCATTGTTTTATTGTCATTAATTGTAATTAATATTGAATTATCAATTAATTGTTGATAAGCATTATCATTACTTTTAATTGTAATGACTATGTAGATATATGTATATGTCTTTCAAAACTACTTAGGGGAAAGGATAAGGGATGGATCTTTAGAGGAGTGGGTTAGGGAATAGGTCAAAGTGGTGTATAGAAGGGTGTTTAGATTTATGGGAATGGGAGGATAAGGGAGGGACAGATGGAGGGGGGAGTAGTTTAAGTAATAGGAGGGTAAAGTAGCAAGTAGAAGTAAAGTAGAGGAGTCAGGAGGGATAGGAAATAAGAGATATGCACAAACATAAAAATAAAGATTAGGAGTAGAATCTGTTAGGGAAAGCATATGTTTATATATGTATGTATTTATATGTATATGTCTATATCTGAATATAACCACACTTAATTGTAGCCTGGGGAGGGACGGGGGAAGGGAGAGGAAAGGGGAAAAAATAACAAAGTAAAAAGTGTGCGGCAGAGAACAAAAGAAAACCTACAAGGAAGCAAAGAAAAGATGACAGCCCTCAACACAATGCATAGTATTTAACATATAGGCTTTCTTGAAAAGAAGATTTATTGCCATATATTTTGAATTCTATCTTACGTTCTAGTGTGCACATGACATTTTTTTTATGTTTAACTTTTAATATATAAGTTTGTAATGTTTCTTTTTCTTTTCTTATTATGTATTTAAGTTTTAATTTAAAATTTAAAAAAACTACTTACAGTACATATTGCCTCCCATTATAGACATATTTTTAATTTTCTTAGGAAACGTTGGGTCCATTTTCACTGCCAGTGCTATATTAGTCAAAGGCCCAGTGGCAACCAGAGTTACCTGCAAAATACAAAGTCACACTTCTCTATATTTTATTATAATTAGTCAGACACTTATAAAATCTTAGAGTTAGCAGGGATTGCAGAATTTATATTGTACATCCCCCTACCCAAATCGCCAATCCCAACTACATTACTACTCTCAAATTGGATATCTAGGCTCTACTGGAAGACTTCAGAGAAGGGGAATTCACTAACCCCTTTGAGGCCACCTGCCAACAATGGTGTGTGATAGTTCCAATCATTGTGAAATTTCTCCTAAGATAAAGTAGAAATATGTTTCCACATAAGTTTCACCCATTTACTATCGTTGTATCTTCTTTAAAACTTGAAGACAGCCATCTTGCCTGCCCCTCTCCCCTTTTCTCCAGGCTAAATAAACGTTCCCAGGTCTTCAACTGAACCTCATGAGCCTTCATTTTCTTAAGGCACTTCACTACGCTCTTCACTCCTCTCTAGATATGTCCCACTCCTCCAGTGGCTCTTCTGAATTGTGCTACAAAATTCTCCAGAGAGAGCTTTCTTCAGGACTGAGTACAGTGGGCCTTTCACCTCTAGACTTCTATTTAACGTTGTCCAAAGTCATTTTTGCTCTTGGGTGCCACATTATGCTGCTGACTCATTTAGCTTGCAGCACACTATCTCTTCCACCTCCACCCCAGTTTTGTTTTGAAAACACAAACTGCTTTTTGGCCACGTCTCCCCTAACTTATATTTGCGTAGGTTTTTTTTTCAAACTCAAACAGAATTTTACCCTTGAAATCTAAAGGGCTACCTTTTTTTCCCCTTCTGCCCATCAGCCTGGCCTGTTGAGATGTCTTTAGATCCCAGTTCTATCATCCACTATATTAGTAGCCAGCTTCCCAGCAGCTACACATTCAATAAACATACAACCTATGCCTTTGGTCTATGTCATTGATGAAAATAATTGTTGAACAGAGCCAGGTCAAAGACAAAGTGTTGGTATATTCCACTAGAGACTTCTTTCCTCTAGTTCCATTGTTCTGTCCATCAACACTCACTGGGGTAAGGTAATGAGCTTGCATCCCAACACTTTTATTCAGTTACAAAAAGCAATTATTTCATCCACCTGAATATCAAGCATGATGAGTGGCCCAGGACAGAGCTTCTAGTAATAGCAGAAGTCTAAGGGGGCTGGGAATGGTTAAAGGTACATGGGCTCCAGGAGTCTGAGAAATGAGAAGTTATTATAGATCTAAAGTGTTGTTACTTCTTCTCAAAGAGGTATATGTCAAATATACAAGAATATCAAATATGAAAGAATAACGTAGGATAGAAACTTGTTTCAAGGCAATTTCTATCTGAACATTGTCAAATATAAGATGAGAACAATAACAATAGTAATAGTAATAATTCCTTACATAACAATAGTAATAGTAATAATTCCTTACATTTGTATAGCATTTCCATAGATTACAAAGTATTTTCTCATACCAAAACAAAACAAAACACTCATTGGGTCTAGTCAGGCAATCGGTTTAAAACTACCTATGTGTACTTATTATCCAGCCTCCATCAATCACTCTCTGGTCCATAAAGATTTAACTTTGGGGCAGCTAAGTGGTGCAGTGGATAGGACACCCACCTTAGAGTTAGGAGGACCTGGGTTCAAATCTGACCTCAGACACTTGGCATGTAATAGTTGCATGCAAGTCAGTAACCCTGTTTGTCTCAGTTTCTTCATCTACAAAATGAGCTGAAGAAGGAAATGTCAAACTACTCTAGCATCTTTGCCAAGAAAAGCCCAGATGGGGTCATGAAGAGTCAGACATGACTAAAACTACTGAATAACAAACATTATATTGTGTCTATAAGAGTCTAGTGCCCTAGGATAAAAGAAGAAAACAGGTAAACTATCCCTTCCTGCCTTCATTCACCTATGAATAAGTCTAGGTGGTAGAACAATGGAAGACCAGCCATGGCACCACACGCCTTGACAATGTCACCTTGTTAGGTCTCTCACTGATGATCCGTATCATTGCAGCTACAGCGTGTTCCTGTTGCACTTGGTCGAACCCAGGAGCGTCAGCATCAGGTACGTCCCCTAAGCCATCTGTTCCATAAAAATAATCTTTTTTCATTGTGTTAAGTAAAGGGGAAGAAGCACCCTGGTAAACTGGGATCTGAAATGAAATGTTCAGAGAGGAGCAATTTGTCTAAATCACTTTATTAAGTGGGAAACTAAACTGGAGGGGAGAGATGAAAGGTAGAGAAGGTGGATTTTTACTGATGGAAAACTTAAAAAAAAAGAAGACACTCTTTAAGAAAAGTGCCCAGGCCTGTCATCTCTTTATTTCCCACTGGGCTTTACTGCTTTGGATGTCACCATACCCCACACTCAGCACCTTCTCTTGGCTTCCCCCTATTCCCCTTTCTTCTTCCTTTTGCGTACTGTCTTCCCTCATTAGATTGTAAGCTCCTAGAGGGCAAGGGCTGTCTTTCTATTTACATCCCCAGCTTTTGGGCTTATCATAGGGGATTAATAAATGTTTGACTCACTGGTAACTGGTTCGTAAGGATTACGGGTAAAATAAGGGCAGGAGCTATATCCTTTTAGTCTTTGTACCCTTAGCGTGAGGGCAGCAAGGTGGCGAAGTGGATAGAGTGCCAGGCCTAGAGTCAGGAGGACCTGAGTTCAAATCCATCCTCAGATACTAGCTGTGCGACCCTGGGCAAGTCAATTAACCATGTCTGCCTCAGTTTCCCCATCTGTAAAATGAGCTGGAGAAGGAAATGGCAAACCACTCCAGTATCTTTGTCAACCTCAAATGGGGTCACAAAGAGTTGGGCATGACTCATCAAACAACAAATCCCTAGTGTGTTGCCTTGAACATAATAGGCACTTAATATATGTCTATTGAACTGAATTGTTAATATTCAATATAGAGAGTCACAAGACAGAAAAGTTACCTGTAAATGGTTACACTTTTTTAATACCCGAAGGACATTTTTACACACATTTTCCACCGTAGTATTTCCGAAACAGCAAGTGATGCCCAGGATTTCAACATTTGGTGCTGCCAGAGCCATCATTAAGGCAGCAGCATCATCAACTCCAGCGTCAACATCAACCAACAGGAATTTCTTTTCCATTGCTAGAATTTCTACTGAAAATAAGACCCAGAGATTAAAAGAGCAACTGTAAATGCAATTAAAAGCTGTGTACCTTACAAAGGAAAACCTTTCCAATTGTGTAGATAAAACTTTCATAAAGTACCATATGTCCTAATGAAGTTTTAAGGAAAAGCCTAGACTGCTTTTTCAGGAAAACATTACAGAGACCTTTAAAGAGCCCTCAAGCTGAAGCTGAGGCACAGAAATCTTCAGAAGCCATTCCGTTTTGTTGTTAACAAAGCCAGTGTTTGGAAAAGCCAGAAGTGCTGAACAGGACAGGAAGGCATCACCCTGGAACTGGAAGCCTTTTTTGTTTTATACTGAACACCCTTAATTCCTAGGCTTCATTTGGGCTAAAAGTCATGAGTGTGTATGTGGAGAGGGAGATGATGATACCTGTGTTTGTATGTATGTGTATATACATATACATACATACATATGTGTATATGGTGTGTGAGTGTGTGTGTGTTAGGGGAGGGAGAAAGGGTGCCACTATATGTATGTTGATGTGTTTAGAGAAGGAGAAACGGTGTGTGTGTGGGGTATATGTATTTGGAGGAGGAGATTGGGCGAAAGGTGCATGGTATTTGGAGACAGAGAGATGAGGACAACGTGCATGTGTTAGGTGAGGGAGAGAGGATATCACTGTGTGTGTTTGGAGAGGGAGGTGGGACTGCCACTGGGTGTGTTAATGGAGGGAGTCGGGGGTGCCACTGCGTGGATGCGCCGCCCAGGTAGACGGAAAGCAAGCATGCCAGGGCCACTCAGCCTCCACCCCTTCTGGCCCGCCCCGCGGCTCGTGCGCCCTGCGCCCGCGGGCGCTGCACAGTCACACCAGCTCGCCCCTACCCCCCTCGCGAGGTCAGCGCCCGAACCTGTCTCCAAGCCGCGCGTGCAGCCGTCCCCGAGAGCCCCCGGCTTCCCCAAAGCAGGGCGCGCGCTGCGCGAGGTCCACGAGCCCGGCCTCGGTCACCCCCGCGGGGCGACGGTCCCACGTGGCTGCTCCTAAAACACGCCTTCCTGTTCTCTGCATGCAAAATGGAGATCCTGGAGAGAACGATGTGCCCACCTGCCCAGCGCAAATCTGGTGCTCGGCCAGGGGTAAAAAGGCCGTTAGTAACCAACCTCATTTATTCATATTAATTAATAATTAACTCGTTACCAGGACCCAGCAATCCTGGAACTCTGCACCCCATTCTCCAGTTACGTAATCTGAGCGTCTCCCTGGAGCCCTGGATTGAGGAAAACTGTCTCAGATGTAGAAAAATTACAGGTGGCATATTAACTGTACAGTTTGCAAGACTGATCTGCACCCTTCTTAACTGGACAGGCAACAGAGTCAAGATTTTTCCAGTTCTTCTTCAAACCATTTTTTTTGTCTCTGTCTTCAAAAGGGAGGGTTTTTTAAAAAAATTATAATCGAGCATACTTTAGATATGCATTTACAGGCAAATCGCAGCATCTTAAATCACGTAATGTCCTCTAAAAAGCACTTCCCGGGTCCTCGTTCTAGGTCAGGGATTCTTAACTTGGGATCTGTGAGTCTAAAAGAAATTTTGATAACTGCAGTACAATATAATTGGTTTCCTATTTTATTTAGTGTATTTAAAAAACATTTTTCTGAGGATTCCATAGGCGTCACCAGATTGCCAGAACGGGTCCATTACCCAAACAAGTTTAAGGACCGCTGTTCTTAGATGGAGGATCTCTTCATTGTGAGGTCCCTGCCCTAACCCTCGATGCCAAGAGCAATTCTATTGGTCTTCTAGGAATTGCCTTAAAAATCAGTAAAATTAAAAAGAAAATAAATGCAAGAAAAAAAAATACCTCACGGGAGGTGCCGAAAGGAGGAGGAAAGCCCACTGCCCAGGTGCTTAGAATTGGTGTCCCACCTGTAAGACAACAGAGGTTAATACAGGTCAGAGGCACTCTGGCCATGCACATATTAAAGATATAACAGGGTCACCTGAGGCTCCAGGTAATATCTCAGTAGATGAGAGTTGTTCAAGATCAAGTTCCTGGAGAGGAGGTAACTAGTACAATCTTCTAGAAGACCCAGTGAATACAATCTGAGCAACAGCAGTGAAATGATGACACCAACTGGGAGTGGGATGGGAACCAGTGGGAAAAAGTCCCGCAAGGTGAAAGTAGAAAGGGAGATAGGACATTCCCAAAGTGCACTCCCACTCAAGAGGCTCCATTTGTATGCAGCACCTTGGATACAAACTACACACTCCCTTTACATACAGTTTGTTCAGCTGTTCATCATTTAAAGGCCATCACAATCCGTTTCTAGTTAATCAATCAATATGTTCATGTGTATTGTTTACCCTTGTGCCGGTCACTCTTCTAGGCACCGGAGATACAAAGACAGAAGGGAGAAAAAACAACACAACAAGCAAATTACATTCTTTCAAGGGAGGCAATGTATACATAAATCAAATATGGACAAAGTACAGACAAGATGAATACAAGGTAAATTTATTGGAGTGGGTATTAGAAGCTGGGGGGGGACTCAGGAAAAGTTTTATGTAGAAAGTGGTGCTAAGGTAGTTTTAAAGCAAATAAGGATTTCTAGGAGGCAAAGGTGAGGAGGAAATGCATGTGGGCACATAGAGATCCAAAGGTTGGGAGATGAAAAATGGAGAATGGAGCTTTTCTTTTCCAATTTATTGCATATTTCTCTTCTTCGGATAGTTTATATTCCAGCCAAAATGGCAGACCTGCTGTTCCTCAGACTTGTAACCCTTATTATTTTGCTGTTATCTTTATTCGGTTATGTACTAGAGTTACATAGGTAGTGTGGAAAATCTGTTAGCAATGAACCATTTCAGCTTATTTGCACATACACTAATGCCTATAAATGGTTTGCTTTTTTAATGAACATTTTGATATAATTATTTCTACTTTGTTTTGCTCTTAGAATTGTTTGCTTGGGTACTAGGGATATGCATGAATTATCAGGTCCTTCATGTACTACATCCAGAGACAACCAGTAGCAGAAGCAGCCTGTGATGTCTCTTGGATGTATTGTTGATGTGCATTTGCTAGAAATGTGCTATGGAAAGATCACTTAGGATTATGGGGCTGGGGAAGTCTCAGTGGTATATCTGTTTTCAGGTACTGCCTTCCCTGATGCTCTTATTTTGTTTATGATATAACCTTTTCTATCTAAGTCATATATTCATTTGGAGTATATTGTGGTATATGGTGTGAAAGGTTAGTCAAAATCTAATTTCTCCCAGACTGCTTTGTATGTCTCTGGGTGGGGGGTGGAGAGAGGGGGAGGAAAGAAAGAGAAAAATATTTATATGATAACTTTATTATATATTTAAAAAGAATAGCAAGTGGTACATAATAGGTTTGCAGTTGCATGTCTAATCATCATTTTAATTATGCTATGTTATGGAAATGCTAGTTTTATTCCATAAATTAAAAATAAATTATATGTTTCCCAGTAGGTTTTTATTTTTATTTTTTTGGATCAAAAAATTCTTACCCCCAGCAATTGTCCTTGAGTTTATTGAACTTTGTATTCAATTGCTACTGGATATTATGTATCTAATATGTTTCATTGATCAACTTTTCTATTTTTTCATCACTACCAAATCATTTTGAAGATTACTGCTTTGTAGTATAGTTTGAATTTGGCTACTTCTAGATCCCATTTCTTTACATTTTTTTCCCATTATTTCCCTTAAGATTCTTGACCTTTTCTTCTTCTAAATAAGCTTTGTTGTTATTTTGTCTAATAGGTAATTCTTTGGTAGTTTGATTGGCATGGCATCAATTCTGTAAATTAATTTAGATAGTAAGTGAATGGAAGGCTAGACTTGGAGTCAGATAGACCTGAGTTCAAATCCTCCCTAACTCATGATGAAAAATGCTATCTACCTCCACAGAAAGAACTGATGAAGTCTGAATGCAGATTGAAACATATCATTTTTCACTTTTTTTTTGTAGATTTTTTTTTGTCTGTGCTTTCTTTCACAATCTGACTAATATGGAAATATGTTTTGCATGATTACACATGTATAACCTGTATCAAATTGCTTACCATCTCAGGGAGGGGGAAGGAAAAAGACTATTTGTCCTCTGGGTTTTTTTTTTTGGCTAGGCAATGGGGTTAAGTGACTTGCCCAGGGTCACACAGCTAGGAAGTGTTATGTCTCTGAGGCCGGATTTGAACTCAGGTCCTTCTGAATTCAGGGCCAGTGCTCTATCCGCTGCACCACCTAGCTGCCCCGGAAAAAGACTATTTGGAACTCAAAATTAAAAAAAAAAAAGAATGTTAAAAATTGTTTTTACATGTAATTGGGAAAAAATACTATTTAAAAAAATTCTCTCTAAGACACTTATCAGCTGTATGGCCATGGGCAAGTTACTTAACCTCTCCAGGCTTCAGTTTCCTCATCTGTAAAATAAAGATATTAATATCAACTTTTTCATAGGGTTGTTATGAGGTTCAAATGCAATAACACATGTAAAGTACTTTGCAAATCTTAAAACACCATCTAAATGTTGGCTATTATTATTAGCATGGCCCAACCACGAACAATTAATCTCTCTCTAATTATTTAAATCTTTTCTTAGTTCTGTAAAGAATGTTTTATACTTGTAGTCACATAGTTCCTCTGAGTGTCTTATTAGGTAGACTCCTTGATATTTGTGCTTATTTTGAGTGGAATTTCTTCCACTTCTTTCAGGTTTTGTTGATAATATTTAGAAAGGCTGATGATCTTTGGTGTTTTTAAAATATCCTGCTACTTTAATGAATTATCTAATTTTTAAAAATTAATTTTAAGTTGAATTTCTAGGGTTTTCTAAGTAGACCACCAAAATATCTTCAAAAGTTTCTTTTTTGCCTATACTTATTCTCATAATTTCCTTTTTCTTATATTATTGCCATAATAGTTGTAACTATATCAAATAATAACAGTGAGAATTGTCAGTCAAGAATAAACCCCAAAAACCTAAAAAAAAATGGTTTTTAGAAAGAATTTTAATAAGTCAGTTTGGTAGAGGAGAGAGCCAGAAAAAAGTGTGGCTCCCTTCTGAGTTTCTGTGAGGTTTCAAACAGGGGCATAAAGACAAGCAGCTGGGCAGTCAGTGTGTAGAAAAGGTAGAGCTCTATATCGGCAGGTAAATATAAACATTCAATAAATTCAGGTGAAGGTAAAAGCTTTTGGGCAAACCAGACCCAAGACCTGAATGGACCCAAAACAAGCAGTCTGGTGTGCAGGGAGGGCCCCTGGGATCAGGGTGACCCATACATCTCACAATATCTAGGTTAAATAATATCTAACCACATAAAGCTAGGTCCAAACAACAATAATAATAAGTAATAAATAATACAGTATTTTTCACCCACATTGGGCACCCATAATCTTATTGGAAAGGCCTCTAGAATTTCTCCCTCATGGATGTTAGCTCTTGGTTTTAGATAGATATTGTTGATCATATTAAGGAAAGATCTATTTTTTTCTTGTTCTTCTGAATGTTTTTAATATATAAACCTTTTCCAGGATTCATATAACTGTATGATTTTATTGATTTGTTATTAATCTGTTCTGTTGTGTTTATAATTTTCATAGTATGAAAACAACTCTACAACCCTTGCATAAAGCTAACCTGACTATCATGTATAATGTTTTCAATATGTGGCTTTTTGCTATTTGCTAATATTTTACTCAATATTTTTACATCAGTATTTTTTTAAAATGCTCTTTAGATTTTTCCTCTTATTTTTTCTTACTGACTTAGATATCAGGAATCATAGAAAGAGTTTGGTAGAATATTATCTTTTCTTATTTTTCAAATAATTTATGTAAAATTGGAGTTAATTGTTCTTTAAATATTGGATAGCATTCACTTATAAATCTATCTGGTTCTGGGGTTTTCTCCCTTCTGAGTTCATTTATGCCATAAGTTTCATGGCTTATTCAATTTCTTTTTTCTGAGTTTGAGTTATTTAAATTCCCATTAATTGTTTTGTTAATCTGGGCATTCCATATTTTGTAAATTTCATTTCATTTTATGTATATATAATTGGGCAAATAGTTTTCATCTTTATAATTTCCTTAATTTCCTCTTCATCTGTTGTGAAGTTTCCTTTTTCTTATTT